TCAAAAACCTCATTCAATCAGACTCTACCTTCAGTTGATCTTGGGCCTTATATTGGATGAATATTTAGTAAAAAGACAATAGACATGGAAGTGGAGGCTAGTAGACTCGAAGTGCTAGCTTACCAAATGAACTTGCTAATCATCGTTTTAAGACGCGCACTTTAGTCTGGTGCAAGGTATCAACTACTGAGAATCCGCCAGGATTGAACACACTATCCTTCCCACCATCGCTCCACGGTAAGTGCAGAGGTTATCTACTAAGCTTAGTTTGGCACGGGACACTCACTGAGTATCAAACACCCTATTTAATAATCCATTTTCTCCTCCCAACTATGGGTTAAATAGTAGTACTTGTATCTGTAAAATCATTATTATTATTATTATTATTAAAACATTTTAATGCAATATTCACTCACAAAAACAGATTTATTCTTTTAATCCAAAATTTGTTTGGCTTTAAATAACCCATAATGGATTGATAAACCGTAAAAGACAAATCAACTAAAAAAACTATTCAGCAGAAAGGTTAATTAACTATTACTCTATAACAAGGGTCGGCAGCCTACGGTACGCGTGCCATACGTGGTACGCCAAGAAATTTCCAAAGGCTCTCAGCCGCAAATGACATTATTATGAATAATCAAGAGTAGTCTCCCCTTATTTTGTTAACTCTCCTCTTTGAAAGAGCTATTTCTGTTTACTGTGACTATAAAAGGACACTATACGCGAATCTTGTATTCTCAGTTGAATAAACGTTTCTTAAAGCCTACACCTGCGTATTTTTGTCATTACAGACATCACGATGTCCAAACCAATAATTACAACGCAAAGAAGATATTTAGCTGTTTCAATTTTAATATATACTAAAGTATACTATATAAAGTATATTGTAGAACAGGTATATTGATCTTGATTTTTATAAAAATACGTATGCTGTTGGTACACTGAGTGATTTTAAAACCCTAAATCTCCACATAGTCAGCCAAAGGTTGCCGACACTTGGCCTATAACAAAGTAACTTACTAGATAATATCGAAAAAAGGTTCGGATATAATCACTCCCCAATTTCTATATTTCTCTTTCAAGTACATATTAATAAAACTGTCGACTTTTGTTTCGCAGTTGGTTAATCTGATATCTTCAGAATATGCCAAAAATCCTACTTTTTTTTTTCATAGTTTTCAGTTTTCATCAACAAGTGTTGATTTTCTAAGCATAGCTTACATGTGACATAAGGCCGAAAGTATGCGAAACCCATTGAGGATCGAACTCATTATTTAGTTGTAATGGCTCTAGTTAGACAAGCTGGTTAACACCACCTCGAGGTGACCACTTTTCATAAACAAGTGAGTGGATAAAAAATACGCTGATTTAGGCTTGTCATGCTAAAAGAATGTATCTGTGTTAACTTTCTATTAGTGGTAAAAAGTCCACTTCAGACGTGTCAAATCTCACGGCACCGTCAAGAGACTGAATTTTAAGTTCTTTATTCCGGTCTCCCGGTTCATAACTAGTGCCCTACCCGGTTAACAATGAAGCATTGGTCTTCTGCCGAGTCTGCCAATTTTTACAAGATTCTTACTGTAAATAAATTGTTGAGCTTTCGCCACTAAAAGAGGCTCCAAGTAAAAATACTCTCTAATCGGTCCGCATGTTTTTTTGAAAACCATTTTGAATTATGATTCGGTGATGTTATTGCGGAGATAACTTTTGTTTTCTTTTCTTTTTCTTTTTCTTTCTTTTTCTTTCTTTTTCTTTCTTTTTTTTCTTTTCTTTCTCTTCTTTTTTGTTTTGTTTTGTTTTTTTTTTTGTTTTTTTGATAACGTTTACCAAATCGGGATTTGGTTACAAGTGATTCAGTGGCCTGAAATGAGTTAACTTTGTTCGATAACCACGCCTCCGTTGGAAATATCAAAATACTTGCACTAATACCGAGTTTCTAAGATTTCCTTCGACTTTATCCCATTTTTATGCACGATGCCCGTGGTGGGGGGACTTTTTTCAAAAGTTCATGCATTCTTCGTAATACACAATGTAACCCGGATATAAGAGAGTTGGCGGGACCGGAGAAGTCTCTTATATCCGGGTTTCTCTTATATCCGGTATTGGTCTATTTTATATACATTAACACAGGCTCTAATTTGGGACCAGAGAAAATCTCTCTTATATCCGGGTTTCTCTTATATCCGGGTCTCTTATATCCGGGTCTCTTATATCCGGGTTAGACTGTATATAAAATACTAGATTTAGTCACGTGCGCTGTTCAAGTTTCCCGAACATTTGTGTTAACACATCGAACAATAAATAAATAAATCAATTAATTAATTAAAAGTTTAATCATTGTAACCTGGGACGCGTAACGACCACATGAATCCGCTGTAAAATTGTTTGCGTGGGTGGGTGTATGAGTGTATAGGGAGGTCGAAATTAAGAATGCAAAGAACTGCTGAGAGAGTGGGGTCGGGGAGATAAGGTGAGGCAGCAAATGTTGGGTGGAAACTGGGAAAGCAACATAATGAATGAAAGGTCGTTGCCCCCTTCCCCCCCCCCCCGCCCCCCCGAATCCGCGCTCTACCGCTCCTTTCGCGTGGGTGGATCGAGGTAGAATGGCGGGGTGCTACATTCTTATTCAATGAAGTTCGCTTTTTACTCAACTGTTATTTTTAAACCACAGTACTATTCGTCGTCAGCGTCCCATCATATACACAAATACACACGCATGCGCACACGCACACCATTGTGTGAAGTGCCATAACGTTTTTCATTTTTTTTTTTTTATTCCTGCAAAAACCTTCCTCTTTTATGTGCCATGTCCCTTCAGGACGAGGACGATCGTGGCTCTCCATAAATTCCTCTCATCTGTAGCTTTTAGCATTGTTTTATTACTGTTTTTTTTTTTTTTTTTTTTCTGTCCTTCTCACTCCGTTTTGTCATCCATTTACACACGCTTGTTAGATAGGTTACTAGCGGTTTCCCCTCTGTCTCTCTTGTCTTTACTACACCCAGTGAGTGTCAAATTCTCCAAACCCTCTTTCTTCATTATTTGTCCAAACATTTCAACCGTCACTTTCTGATTCTATGTGCTATTATTGTTTCCATTTTCCTTAAAACGTCCACATGCTCCCTCAATTGTATTCTCAGGTCTCCTCTTCTTCATTGAGAAAATTGTCCAGCATTCACTGCCAAATAGGAGGACTGATATTACATAGCAGTTCAGCACTCTTTTCTTTGTTTCTCTTGCTTCAAGTCACCTCTTCTGCATTGAGGAAATTGTCCAGCATTCACTGCCAAATAGGAGGACTGTTATTACATAGCAGTTCAGCACTCTTTTCTTTGTTTCTCTTTCTTCAAGTCACCTCTTCTGCATTGAGAAAATTGTCCAGCATTCACTGCCAAATAGGAGGACTGTTATTACATAGCAGTTCAGCACTCTTTTCTTTGTTTCTCTTGCTTCAAGTCACCTCTTCTGCATTGAGGAAATTGTCCAGCATTCACTGCCAAATAGGAGGACTGTTATTACATAGCAGTTCAGCACTCTTTTCTTTGTTTCTCTTTCTTCAAGTCACCTCTTCTGCATTGAGAAAATTGTCCAGCATTCACTACCAAATAGGAGGACTGTTATTACATAGCAGTTCAGCACACTTTTCTTTGTTTCTCTTACTTCAAGTCACCTCTTCTGCATTGAGGAAATTGTCCAGCATTCACTGCCAAATAGGAGGACTGTTATTACATAGCAGTTCAGCACTCTTTTCTTTGTTTCTCTTGCTTCAAGTCACCTCTTCTTCATTGAGGAAATTGTCCAGCATTCACTGTTAAATAGTAGGGCTGTTATTTCATCGTATTTCAACACTATTTTCTTTATAACGAAATTTCCTGGTTTCTTAATACTATGTTTAGCTTTTGGAAGGCATTTTTTACTATTCCAATGCACTTTTGGATTTCAATATCACGTTTTCCTTAATCGTTTAAAACAGTCCCCAGTTAGTCAAATTTCTGTACTTGACTTTGACATCTTAAGTTTTTACCTCCCCCCCCCCCATTTTCGGCTGTTCCTCTTGATAACGGACATATATTGTCTTGGTTTTAAAGTATTTGATCATTCTAGTTTGATTACAGTGTCTTTTTATGGAGATGTTTTAAAAATGAAATTTTAGAACTGATTAATACGAAAATTAAAGATCCAATAGCAGAATGCTGTATGAGACTTAAAATGTTGCTCGAAAATCCGTTTATCTATTAGCAATCGAATCAGGGACAGTCAGACACTATTTTTAAAATATATGTTTTTAATATATATCCATTCAAGAAATATCTTGCATACATATAATTCTACTATTTGCTCATGCTTTGAATATTGCTGCCACATCTGGTCTGGTGATCTTTCTATATAGTTAGATATTCTTGATAAAATCCAAAGAAAAATCTGCAATGTTATTGGCCCTGACTTGGCATCTCAGCTTCAGTCACTTTCTCACCACAATCAGATAGCTTCCCTGTGTGTTTTCTATAAATATTTTCATCGTAATTGTTCTGATGAACTGTCCTTTTTCGTGCCCAGACTTTATGAATTTAAGCGCAGTACTAGATTGGCAGTAAGGTCTCATTTTATAGTTTAAATAGTTAGCCTAGAAGTTACGGTTGCATCTAAGTGTTTCTTCTCTCGCACTTCTCGCTTGTGGAACTCTCTTCCGGCTTATTCCTTTCCGATCAAGTTTGCATTTAAATTTTTGAAGATCAATGTCAATCGTTATCTTCTGTCTTCTTAATTCCTGTTTTTTTTTTTTTGTTCTTGCTCCTTAATAATGTTTCTCTTTTTGTAATATTCTTTCACACTCTGTAATGCCTCCGCGTCTTTGTATCATTATTGATTTGCTTGGAGTGAAATGAAAAACAAATGTAGGTGATCATGGCTCTTCATAGATTCTCATTTATTTATTACATGATTTTTTAAATAAGCAACTCGTTTGTAAATATCTGGACACAAATGTGACTGGGCTTACGGTTAAAACACCAGTTCCCGTACGATCACCGAAGTTAAGCAACGTCAGTACCTAGATGGGTGACCGCTTTCGAATAACAGGTGCTGTAAGCTTGGATGTACGGATTATGTAATGTATAATGGCTCGGAAATATTAATCGGAGAACGGAGTTCCAATTCCGGTTGGGTTCGTTAGTGACTAAATCTTGAGAAACTCCAATACTAATGTCAGTGTGGCTGAAGCAATTAAAAAAATACATTCAGATTAATGTCCCTGACTTTGCTCTAACGATCATAACATCTCGGCCTTCTTCAGGAGTTTATTGATCCGGAAATTTCAAGCGGCTGATTTTTTTTTTTATTTAACCTAAAGTGTTAGGTTGTTCTCACACTAATGTCTATGTCTTGAGATATCATCTCTTTTTTCTCTTTATATATATATATATATATATATATTCGATTCTCCGTTGTACTTGGCGTATGAGGGTCAAGCAGCTCAGTTCCTTGGAAACGACAGCACATGTGATTTGATTATAGTGGTGAAGGTTTGTGCAGAACCAACCACACTTTTTGAAGGGCCGAATGCAGAGACCTGGTGCACTATGTGCAACAAGGTCCCCAAACGACCCTCCGCAGGTTTTGAATTCAGAGTTGTCCATCTCCTAGACCAGTTGCCGTCCAAGGCTATAGAACCCAGTCTATCTAGACTATGCTTAGAAAATCATTTGAGGTACTTCGACGTGGTATAATGGTTCGCAAGCTTATCTCGTTAGATCAATTACGACTGAGTAGCGAGTTCGAACCTCACTGGATGCACCATAATTTCGTCCTCGTGCCACATCTAAGCTAGGGTTAGAAAATCATAATTAAAAAGCTTAATATGCCTAAAAAGATTCTTATTTTCTTTGTTTGAATTTCTACGAATTGGAATTTAAATAATTTCTAATCGGATAATAATAATAATTATTATTATTCTTTTTCTTTTTCTTCTTCTTCTACCACCATTTAAGCCGTTCTATCCACCGGCTTTCTTCACGTGTTTGCTGATCCGGATAACTGTAAGGAAATTTCAAACAGAAGCCTTTATTTAATCTACGAAGGTAGATTGTTCGTCTTTTGTTGTCTATGTTCTAGGGATAGTCGCTTTTTTGTTTTTTTTTAATGACACTTGGTTATTATTAGGGCGTCTGAGTCTGTACTACCAGAACCAGGGATTGAACTCAGAGTTACTATGCCACCATATTAAAAACAATAAAAACAAAATAACGCTTTGATCCCCTAGGCTAGAACTTATTTTCTTAATGCTTTCTCTTGCTGTCAAGCTTGACTTCCTTCGCCGCCGTTTCCCTTTCTTACTGCTGCTGGTGAATCCTTATTGTTCCTTCTTGCTTTTTGAATAGACAAACATAAGTCAAATCGGACAATAATTAAAAAAGAAACGTGTACATTGATTTGATGATACTTTTAAATAAAGTTAGAACTAACACACATCTGAAGTCCTGAAGTATGACGATCAACTACATCCGCCAGCAAGACTTCTGATCAAGGGATGGGAGGTTTTGAGGAGCGTGGAACCACCTCTTAATTGCTGTTGTTTTCAGGTCCACCCAAACCCAGGGTGGTAGCACCTGTTAGGGTCCCAGCTATAGGCAAATAGTGAACCTCCAAAACAAAACACTATGAAAGTATAAAAATACATTTTTGTGGTAAAATTGCCATCGATGCATTTTTAAATAAAATATTACCAGTAATATCTGTTTATAGTAGAATTACGAGCAATACTTGTTTGTAGTGGAATTGCCAACAATACATATTTATAGATAATGCTTTACTTAGGACTTAGGAAAAAAACATTATATTTCTGCATTAAATGAACCAATGGGTTGATATAACGTAAAACAAAGAAATATTCACCTGATATTAGTGTTATCTGATAAAAAGGAAAGAAAATAGAAAAATAAACAGAAGACGCTTTTTAAGCTACATGATACAATATAAATCAGACATGGTAAACCTTTTACGACCAGTGGCTCAACATCAGGCTGGTCGCGCTACTAAAAAAAGGTAATTTTTGTTGAAGTTGTCTCATCCAATTTTACTACAGAAGACCTTACAAGTAAGCATGAGAATTCAAAATGGGGAAAATTGATTTTTTTTCATTGGAGAAAAGGTTTTTCTATAATTAAAAAAAAATTGAATTTAATATCATCACTTGCATTATTTGCATTATTCGGACTGTTATCCTCAGCTTCATTGCCATATTCACAACATTTCGGTCGTTTTATGTTCCGGCCTTCTTCAGGTGATAGGAATTTTGAAACGAACCCTTTATTTCGCCCACCGGGGTAGATTGTTCTAGTTCCACGTGCCATGCCTGTTCCGGATGTCTCAGTTATTTCCTTTTGACTCAACACTCCAAGTTTTGGTTCACCACTGCTGTGAGCTGGTATTGAACTCTTTGGGTCTAGTTACTGGATCTAACCAACATCTTTATCCACTCATGCACAGATGTCCTCTCATAGCCAAGTAGGTAATGACGTTGGTTAGATCCAGTGACATAATACTTCATAATTCATAACATTTCATACTTCATGCTATTCATTCATACATTCATAATAACTTCTTAACAAATATTCATGCACACATTCATACCTCCATACGTTGCATAACGTACGTACATAACATTCATTCCTTATAACATACGTGATACATTCCGTCCGTAGAATAATAGCACAACCGAGAAGGAAGGAAGATGTGGAAATCTGAAACTTTTATAAAAATGCCCATCCAATACAAGACCCGTGGAACAATGCAAAGAATTGCTAAACTAGGCTGCTGCATAAACGTAAGCGGGTGCTAGAGGGCAGAGGGCGCCTGCAGTGATCTTATGGGCTTCAGAAGCCTGGCTGTCGACAAAGACTTTCAAGGACCTACATAGCCCGTGTTCATTTTGCTGTATATTGAGAAATTAAATTTCCACCCTCTTCATTTTTATATTAGTTAAATGCAGGACTACTTGTAGAATTTAAATCATCAATTTCTTTCTGCCAAACAAAAACACCATTCACTGAAAATCTCATCCGGAACGTAAAATAAAAAAAAATGCAATAAAATTATAACATTATTTAATTAGAACTGCTTTTAATTGCTTTTATAAATGGTATATATTGAGGAATAATGAATTTTTACAAGAATTGTTTTCATTTTTTTAAAATTTTAATTAAATTTTAAATCTTTAGCCTTAGATTATTATTAAGGAAGAACTGTATCTACTGAATATAAATAAAAAAGGTTAGTACAAATCATCAAAGACCAATATTTTTAAAGAATTTTGAATTTTTTTGTACGTATAGAAACATGATTTTTTTTTTTTTTTTTTAGATACGGACGCCCATATACGACATTATCAGAAAATAAGAGCGATAACTATAGTAAATTTAAAGCCAGAAAGTATCTAAAATTCAATAAAACATTAGATTAGAATATTTCTTAAATTTTTAACCCTAGAACACTAACCATCAATTAAAGTTACACCACTACTAACCATGGGTATATCATACCCAATTTTGAAAATATCAAAAAAAAAAAAAATTAAATATATATCTTTATTTGAAATATTTTACATGGAGGCACTTCAAACTTTGTACTTTGAGTTAACATTAATAAGAACTGAAAAACATTATTTAGGTAAGAAAATCAGGTACTGAAAATTGTAATTAAAAATAGGAAAATTTGCGCTGGGTACTATATACCCATCGTTAGTGTTCTAGGGTTAAGATTACTGAATACTTAAAATTATATATAAAAGGCGCTCATTAGAATCAATTAATTTTTGCGGCTAAAGCCTACATAGAACAACATTAGATAAACATTAATCTGTCAAAGAGGTTAACAGTTTAAATAAATTGCTTCGGCATTGTTAAAAAATGCATTTCTGTGATATTTTGAACTTAAAGTAAATAATATTTGTTTCAAATCAGATTAATTATACTTTAAATCAGGTAATATTCCTCAAATACAGTTTCAGAAAATATCTTTTATTTTTTGAAGATTTTTTTTATTAAAGAGAATTACAATGCGCTGAAAAGTGACTAAAAAAGGGCGCTCATCAGTTATTTTAGAAAAAAAAAAAAAATTTTTCCAGTCAATTTAAATTAGTTTGAAATGCAGCAAAGTATTTTGCTTATCGGGAATGCTAAATTTAATCTATCAGCTTGAAATTAAAACTAAAATAAAAGCTTCAAGAAACTTTTTTCAATTTTAAAACTTCATTTTAAACCTTAGGCATCGTGTTTCCTGTGGTGGTACCTAATTTAGATTCTTGAAACTTTTGTATTCATTTCTGTATGACTTTACAAGTATTAAAGTGAATAGGCATTATATTTTTGCCCCACCCCCCGTGTTTTTATTTAAAAATTCGGAAAGTTTCTCTCATTTTTCTACTTTCATTTTCTCATCTTTTTTCAGCCGATACTAAAAAAAACCTGAAAAAAAAAAAAAATTATAAACTTCATTGTTTTGAGCGTTGCTTATTATTTGCAACAATAACGGCCCATTTCTGAAACACGTCGTTGGGGTGAAAAGTGGATTTTTAACGATTACCTTATGTACTTTAGTTCTTATTAAAATAATGTCGCATGTGTGCGTGCGTGTGAATTTTTGCGGGGTTAAAATATCGGGTTTTGCTAAGTGCGTACAAACAAAGGTATACAGCGAAAACTATTTTTCAAACAGTGTATTCAGTCTGCTTTTTAAAAAAAGTGATCGCTGGGAATTTTTACACACCCCTGATATTTTTTTCTTACCAACATCCGATTTTTAATGTCATACAATCTCATATGAAATTAAATCAGATTTTTCAAGATAACAAACTTTCAAGATAAAAGATTTCAGGGAGTGCCGTATATTATTACTATTTTATTATTTTTGAGCGATCGAGAAAATTAACTGTAAACAGGACAAAGGTCACATCTATTATCATACCAGATTTTCCAGTGTTGACGCACGACAGATTATATTCTTTCGATAATATCTCGTGTCTATGAGATTATCAAAATCATAATGGCTGACGGTTTTACTAAATGCTCAAATAATTGTGTATAATCAGCAATA